TATCAGAAAATAGAAAGATATCCCTTGCTCATGGATAACAAGAACCAGCAAAGTGAAAATTGCCATACTCACAAAATTGTTATACAGATTTAATGCAATCCAGATTTTGGTACTAGGATGGGTTTGTTACTGTGATTTAACTGACTATGAGGTTTAGAAACCTTTGGATGTGACTAATACAACATTGATCCTGGAATGTATAATCCTGGAGGCAGTGGGTCTAACTGAGAGGCAATGGTCCAAGTCCCAGGGTAGATTCTCCAGAAGGAATTACTGTGGAGGAAGTAGGGCCATTTAACCATGACTTGGAGGCTATGTGATTTCAGCAAACATGTTAATGGTTCATTCTTTTCTTCAGTAAATTTTTTCCAGAAAAATAAAATATGTACAAAATTTCAAAAAATATGTAAAAATGTTGATCTACAAACATGAATCAATCTTAAATGTGACATAATTTTGAGCTAACGATAGAAGTGACAAGAGTCCATAAGACTTAAACATAGTGGACCTTCTCTTTCAGGGGAAATTTGTCTTGATGGAGTATTACCCGTAATCCCAGTTCCCTGATTGGCTATGGGATTTTATTAAGAGTGCCCTGATCATGTAGAAACTATTTAGTGGTTTTCAACTCTAAGAGTCTCTCAAAATATAGAAGAATTAATTATAGGTCTTCAAATGTGACCGAAATGTATAATGAATGTTGTATTAAAATTATTATGGCAAATAATACATTGCCACCAATCCCCCTAAGAATAGCCTTCCTTGCAGGAACGATTGAATAAGTGTGTTCATTGTAAAGTGAGGAGAAGTATTTTGAGGGAATTAAGTGTCAATGTGTCTTTTACTATAATACATTACAGAAAAAAATTAAACATTCACCATATTTATTGATCACACATTGTAGAATATAATATAAATATTATATATTATCATTGTAATCATATAAAAATAAATTTATAATTGAGAGAAACTGGCTAGTAAAGAAAAGGCTGAGGGGTTACCATCAATGGAACAGGAAGAGAAACTGTACCATCTAAGTGCAATATAATAAAAACAAGTTTAAATTATCTAAAATTACAGAAATTACAAATATAAAAACGGAACATGAAAAAGGATCAAAGTGTAATAGCATGAGATAATGGATGTTATCTACTGCAGAATTGGAGATCTAGAAATTTAGATGGTAGTTAGAGTCACAAAAACAAATTAAAAATGGTTAGAAATGGCTCTTTGGGAGAAAAGATATGAGAAGAGGGATGTGAAATACAGTTTTGATTCATAAGTTCTTTTCTGTTTGAATTTTTACCATGTCACTACATTTGTTTAGATAAACGTTAACTATTCTACTTATAAGCATGTACTTTTGCAATACTATTTCTCATAATGGCTAAAATATGGTCTCTACCTCACTAATGCAAAAAACTTTCCATGAGCCAACTGATGTAAATGATTTTGGCATTTCACCTACAAATAAAGGGCCAAATTGAATGTCTTACTTCAGAGTATGTTTAACTTTGTTGCTTTGTGTTAGGGATGGCAAAAAGAATAAGACACGGCTTCCTTTTAGAGTTTAGGCTTTTGCTTGAATAACAACTAGAATTAAGATTATGTGGCACATCAATTTTAAATGGATGAATCTTTACAAATATTTCTATTAGTTATTTTGCACATTATTTCCTAATCTTTTCTAAATCAATGCTTATTAAATATTCCATTTATAAAAGGACAGCAAATTTTTGTAACTTACTTTTCAGTGTTCACAGATCATTAATATGAGGATTTACCTTATTATGAGGAAGTCTAATTTCCTCATAACAAAGTAAATTCATATAAATAAATAAATTGTGCATAAAACGGTGTATGCACTGGCAACTGAGAAGCTTTTCCCACAGGCTTTCATAAGACATAACTGTTTTCTAAGTGAGATTTCAGAATAGTTTCCAAAACTTGCCAGCATTGAGTTTTCCAGAAAAATGGAAGGATATTGTATAATGAGAGTGCCAGGGTAAGAAATGTTGAAAACCCACTTGCCAAATCATACCAACTTAGACTTTTGTGACTAGCAGCATGTGGCACAGTTAAAAACGAGCCACAGCTGTGCTTTCCCTTCTGTCCTTCCCTCATTTTCTTTCCTTTGCAGACCAAGATGCTCATTTAAACTGAACTATGTGGGAATCTGTGGCAGAAGTCCTTGTGGCATTCCACATGGTTTTATTTATGTGGTCCTACAGCTCTGTGCACAGAAATCTCATAGTCCTTTTGTACTGAATTTAAACTGTGCTTGGACCCATTCCCTACTAGCATATAAGATTCACAAGGGTGGGGGCTGGGGATTTAGCTCAATGGCACAGCGCTTGTCTGGCAAGCGCAAGGTCGTGAGTTTGATTCCCGGTACCGGGGGGGGGAAAAAAAAAGATTCACAAGAGTGGGCACTTGGTCCATTTGTATTGGCACTCAGTAAATAATCAGTGAATAAATCAGTATCATCACTAGTAATAATCAATATGTGGCTCTCATTATGGTTAAGAGCCTTTCTATGTTCTATAAACACATTTAACCTCAAAAAATAACCCTTTTGGAAAAATATTTCTCAAACTATTTCCATTTTAAAGTGTGAGTAAACTGAGTCTCAACAAGGCTAAGTGACTGGCCTAGGGAGACAGGGCTGGCTGTGGGTAAAGCTGAGGTTTAAATCTAAGCAAATTAGTGAAAGAATCATGCTCTTGGCCTGGACCTCCTACTACTGCTTCCTGAGTGGTTGCTGTACCTTAAAAGAGGGTTGTGTCTTTTCTTCGCAGTCTCGGGGTCTGCGAGAATAATGCTCCATGAATAGAGACATCTATATAATTAATGGCTCCTAACTGAATAGATAAAAAATTGTCACATCCAGCAGTGATGATTTTGGTTGAGGTGAACTTAGCCTTCTATTTAGAGTCTTACCTCTTGTACAAAAAGGCGAACAACATCATATGTGTGAAAGGAGGGCAAACGTTAGTGGTTAAAGTAACCACTACAGCGGCTCATTGACAACACAGTGTTGCTTTGGCTGAAAAGGGGACTGTATCTGAAAAGCAATTTTCTCCTTCCAAAGCATCTGACATACTTTATTTACTTTAACAAATTACACTGTGGGAAACATTGCTATTTTTGTTTTACCAAGATGCCGGAACTGGGAAGCCCAAAATAATATGCCCCGTGCCACCTGTAAGACAGGGTTCCAAGGATTTTGTGCCAGCTCACTGACCTTCTGTAGAGGAGTTTCCTCCTGGGGATACAGAATGGCAGGAAAAAGACACCAACCATCTGATGTTTTTGATTGAAATTTTTAGTGGAAAAATTTTTAGATATCAAGTGTATGATCTCTTTAGCCCTAGACTTCACTTAAACACGTGGAACCATGTATGCAAACATGAAACTTAAATTATACAAGAGCTGATTTTTATTTATGATTACCATCTTCTAAAAAGTTACTGCAAACTCGTGCAAAACTTCAGAAACAATCAGTTGAATTCAAATAACTAGCTGGCTAGTTACACTGGGTCAATAATTAGAAGTTTTCATGAATTTGATTGCTTAAGGCCAGTCACCATTTTTTCCCAACCTGGCTTATTAAAGAAGCAGCAGGGTTGACTGTTTCCTTCCTGTCTGGGTCAGTCTTGCCTCCTAGAATGGAATTCCACCTCAGAGCAGTTTGGGATGGAGAGTACTGATAGGAAGGAGGGTACTTATGGGGTGGCTTATATTTCAGCAAGAGGGCCTTAGAGCTCTCAGCTGACAAATTCTCTGAAATGGGCCTCGCTGTTTCTGTGTATCCCTGTGTCTCCCCATGTGCCCCCGTGTCTCCTTGTATCCTCTGGTATCTTTTTTTTCCCCTCTGTCACTTTTCTGACCCCTTGTGTCACAAAATGACCATTCTCTAGTGCACTATGTGGCTCTGTTGAGTCCTCTGTATTTCCTTTCTTTCCCCCCTGTTTTTCTGTGTCTCCCTATGTTCCCTCGTGTCTTCTGTGTCCCGGTGTCCCCCTGTGTCTCTTTCTCCCATTGCCCTTCTGTCTCCTCTTTGTTTTCCCCCATATCTTCGTGTCCCTCTGTGTTCCTCTGTCTCCCTATCTCCCTATGTCTCCCTCTGTGTCCTGTGTCCACTTTGTTATGTCCCTTTGCATTCTCTATTTGTCCTCATCTGTTCTCTCTGTGCTCCTGTGTGTCTTTCCTGTGGCCCATATCCCTCTGTGTCCTTTCTGTGTTCCATGTTGTCCCCTCTGTGGGCCTCCTGCATCTTCTCTCCCCTAGTGTGCTCCCTGCATCCCTCTTTGTCCCCATTGTCTTCTCTTTGCTTCCTTGTGACCCCCGTGTCCTCTGATATTCCCCGCTGTCCCCTCCCTTCCTTTCCTCATAGCCCCCAATTGGTGGCCCCAAATGTAGGGTCTACACTGAGACAGTTTAATGGATGCCACCTCACTGTGGGAACCAGAGACTGACAAGCAACCTCTTCTGGTCAGTCATCTCCACACCAGTCTTTCCACATCCAAGAGGGTTCCATCTTGCTACCTGGGTTCAAAGATTAGAGGTGACCCACTTGCTCTGTAGAGGTAATAGCATCAGCCCCTGTTCTTGGGCTTGTTAAGTGTGACAGGGAGGCAGCTCCTAATCGGCCAGCCTCAAGCGACTTATTTGGTCTAGCTTCAGACACCAGCTTTGATAAACATTGTTTCTGAAAGTGAGGTGGGGGAATCCCTAACTGGGGACACCTGCCAGTCCTCTTCAGCTTCTCCGTGGAAAGTGAGAGAAGCCTGTATAGAGACAGGTTTTTGCAGGCCAGCTACGACTCTTGTCATTGTGGTTGTTCTTGGAGATAACGTCTGTCACTGATCTGTGTTCTCTATTGTTTTTGTCACATCTTCATCTGGTAGTAAAATCATTTTGGATGTTAAGGGTAGTAAACAATAATATTCCTTTCTCTGGAACTAGGAGCTCCCCTAGAAAAGGGGAGAGGTGGTTACCTTTGGTCATGACGATTCCTGCCAGAGCTTTGTGGCGGGCGTGCACGGGTGTCAAGCCAATTGTCAGCTCATGGAACTTCTGTGTGACCAGCTGGAACACTGAGTCGGCGAATTCCTGAAAGACACAACACCAAGGTTCCTTGATGGACTACGCAGAAGCAGTGAGTGCACAGCTGGCTCTCATGTCCTCCTCTCCTTTTCAGCTTGTCCCCATGTGGATGTCCAGAGGTGCCCATACAGTGTGCCCGTGTCAGCACATGTATACCCACGTGCATCTGCTATCTGTCTCACTCCACCCCTTGGCCCTAGGAAGGAACTGATGGTGAGTAGTTAACCTCCAGCACTGCCCTTGGAAGAAATCCAGACCCGTGCCTAATCAGTGGACTTCGGCATGGAAATGGTGTCCAGTTCCTCCCTTTCCTTGCCCCTCAGAGCAGCAGGCTTAGAGGAGTCCTGAAGGCAGAACTTGATCAGGATAACTCTGAGAGAAGAGGGAAACGATTTGGACACATGGGATGATTGGCCACCAGTTTCTTCTCAGTATTAGTAGTTGGGACAACTTTGGGTACTATTCTGGCTGAGCCGCTCACTATAGCTCATGCCACAACCTCTTATATTCCCGCAGATGTACACATAAGCACATGTATACACATATGAACACATACAGGCAGACATGCAGCACAATGCACACACCATGTACATACACATAACTCACACATGCATACACAAACACATACATGCACACACAAGCATACATGTATATACAGAAAGCATATATATACATACAACATGCAAGCAGGTGCATGCACACATAAACACATGAACTCAAAACACCATGTGCACAAAGATACACATATGCATGCATCCAGAAGCAAACACACTTATATACATACTGTGTACACATGCACACACACAGAGACATCATATCATCATAATCTTCTACTGAGCCGTCCTAAAGCCCTCTACCTCTCTGTTAGTGCAGCACGTATAGAAGAACAAAGCCAGTGCAGCCCAGAAGGCATGGCTCTGTGACCACGATTTCCTCAGCTCCTCTAGAGCTTCTGGATAAAATATTGCCTTTTCCTGACTGGGGAGGCCCTTGGCTTTTCTTCAGGGTGCAGCTTAAATGGTGTGACTGCATTTGGACACATAGGATGATTAGCCACCAGTTTCTTCTCAGTATTAGTAGTTGGGACAACTACTAAGTTGGTATTAGTAGTTGGGACAGACATCGGAGTAAGAAAACCTGGTTGGAATCTTGTTTTGCAAGTTAAGAGTTATTCCAAACCTTTAAGCCCCACTTTCCTAAATTATAAGGTAATCCTCTTAATTTCCATCTGACAATGTTTTTGTAAGGATTAAATGAATTCACGCTTCTTAAATACTTAGCAGAGTGTCTCACATTGTTAAGTGCTCAGAAATGATGACTAGAACCGTTATTCTCATCATTACCATTATTATTGTCTGCCCAAGTCCTTGTAGGGAGTGATCAAATCTTTATGGAGACAAATCAATCTATCAATGTATCCAGAAGGTGAACAAACATTTCATTTATTCTGATGGATTGGATTTTCATCATTTTGATACTATGCAGGAATTGATACAGATATGGACAGATTTCCAGTATATAAATATAACTGAGACAGACAGTTTTTAAAATTCCATTTGGATGCAATAAAACCTGTCTGTGTGAAAGCAAAGTTTCTCCAGGAAGCAAAAGCCCTGCCACAAAAATAACCTGACGTCTTTTCTCTACCAGCTCTTCAATGATAAAGAGTGGGCAGCAGAGAGGGCCAGCATGGTCTCTTCTGAGCTCAGTTTCTGGGATCTGAGAGCCTTCCCTGCGGTGCTGAACCCACTATGGCCAGTGCTTGTTACTTTTTAAATGTGCCATGAATAGATACAGCAACACTATGAAGGGTAAATAGCACACAGATTGGGCTTCCCCCACATAACTGTAATCCTGGTGGAAAGGGGAGAGGGTAGACCCCACTCTTCAAGGGCTGCTGTGTGTTTGGGGGTCTCCCTGGCTCTTCTTCCTACCCAGGCTGCTCAGTGTGACACCATCATCCCCAGCTGGTTGCCACAGAATCATGGTATTATACAGTTGAATCCTGGAGGCTGCTTTAGGCTGTTCTGTTGTTTTATGCCTTGGAAAATGAGGCCTAGAGAAGGCAGCCTATTCCCCAGAAACACTGTCTATGTGTACAGAGGCTACCTGGAAAATAGCCACCACTAGGGGCTTAAAGCATGAGAAATTCATTCTTTCACAACCCTGGCAGCCAAAGCCCAAGTTCAAGGTGTCCTTAGGGATGTGCTCCTTCATGAGGTTCTCGGGTAAGCTCTTTCCTTCCTCTTGCAGCTTCTAGCGGGTCCAATATTCCTAGATTTTTGGTCAGATGGCTCCAGTTTCTGTCTGTCTTTATGTGGTCTTCTGTCCATGTTTATGTTTTTCCCTCTTCTTTGTCTTAGAAGGATACTTGTCATTGGATTTAAGACTCACCTGGATAATCCAATCTGAGCTTATCTCAGATCCTATAACTTGATTATGCTTGCAAAAATCTTCTCCTCAAATATGCAGTCTCAGGATTGAACATGTCTTTGAGGACTGCTGATCAACCCCCAGCACCCTGTTCCTCCACTTCATGCTGTGGAAAAGAAACTGACAGTTTTTCAGAGGCTTACATTTGACTAGTATTCATTTGTTTTGAGAAGCCAAATTCTTGATATGAGTGAGAAGAGGGAGAGGTTGGTCCAGTTTCCTTGGACAAGCAAATCCATGGTCATGAGTGAGGGTGCACAGGGGCAGACATCATACACAGGCGGAGCCTCCATGACAGTCCTCCATACTTACAAAGAAGAGTGCACTACCCCCATTTAAAGACAAGGCCTGATAGCACATCACTGCTCTCCTTCCAGCCAGGATCCTAGAGATATGAGGTCATCTGCCAACACTGAGCTCCATGCTGAGGCTAAGAGGGAACCCAGAGGCAGACTGACCTACAGAGTTCCTCATTCCAGGAGAACAGAGGGCATGACACCCATAGAGTGAGAACCTCAAGAGGTTTCAGTGATCACCTTGAATTCTGAAAAATCACCAGCCTCTCAGCACCATGTCCAATAAACTGTGAAGAGATGACACCAGCAGGCCTCATTGCAGGTGGCAGCATGGCAGGTGAGAGGCACCAGCTCCATCTTGCTAGGCCAGACTGGCCATCTCTCAAGGGGAGGAAGGTATTCCTGAGGGGCCAGGTTGATGAGACAGTCCTGGCTTTGGACCAGAGACAGATGGAGGCTTGTGCTCGGCAAGGCCTTGTGGTTTGAGCTTTTGTAGGTCTGGGGAGTGAGGTGCGACTGTACACACCCTGTGCCCTGGACCTGGGACACCTGTTCCCATTGTCTCTCACAGGTGGGAATTGGCCCTGATGGCTGAGGGTCTCCATCTTGTCAGAGTCCAGAAAGGCTTTGTCTGAAGCTGACATTTGAGATGAACTTGAAAGAAGAGTGGATTTGTTACATTCCTGCAGACTACCACTCCTCAATGAAAGAATGCGTTTTATTCTCTTCTGTCTGGCCAGCTCCACAGCATGTCAACAGATAAGGACAAAATCTACACACAACAGGAGCGTCCAAGCTTACATCGGAGGGGAGTGACTTCCTCCGCCGAGGTGTTGGCAACGGCATCCCGTGTGCAGAGAAAGCTCTGGATGCATTGTCACTTGTGCTGTCGCTCTGTGAAGTAAGTTCCTAACTGTTCATGTATTTTAATCTCCAAGCAGAAGTATATGTTTTTCTTCTAATATACTGTTCTCAGCACTAGGCTGTATATTCCCATGCATCCTGTGTTCCAGAGTCATTCTAAATGATGCCTTCAACACTCTTTTTTTCCTTTTAAAATGAAGTGTTCCAGTGTCCAATGATGATAAGAATGCCCAGCATAGGAGGTACCCTTTAATTCCTTTGTGTTTATCTGCTAGATCTCCCTGAGGCCCTCAGACCAAGATGTTCCCAAATCACCTAAGAAATAGAGTATGCAAAAACTGACTTCACTTTTGAAATCTCAAACCCACTCTGTTTCTGTTACAGAAGGGAAGATACCCAAGTAGGATAGCAGAGACTTGCTGGGTGCCTGTGACAGTGCTGAGGTCCAAGTACACATTGTGCCACTTAATCCTAATGAGGAAGGTATGCTACCCTTAGCAACTGTTGAAAAACCTTAACCAAAGTTATATGGTCAGGATGTGGCAGCCACACTGTTTAAACCCCATAGATTTGACTCCAGCTCTCCATACTGAGCCCGAGAGCAGATTGCTCTGAGGAAAAGCAGGATTCTCTCTCAAGATCATCATAGGCTTAGTTTCATCCTGATGCACTTTTTATGATGCTAGTTACATGAATGTGCACTGTTGTCCCCAGAAGAGCTAGCTGTACACAGAGGCCCTATGGTCCCTGGACACCCTCCAGGCCTGCATCCCAGGATGCTTTGCACCCATTATGCAGTAATTAGCCCTGGGCCATGGCCATTCTCTAATGGAGTCATTTGAGAAAATGCTGAAGCAGAACAAATCACATTTCAGTTTGGATTTCAGCATTTCCACAGATGAAGGGTTCCTTGACTCATTTCACTTGGCAAAGCATACCACCAATGGGACTTCAGGTGGCTGGTATCGTTCAGAGAGTGATAGGGACCTCTAGGTAACCGAGATGGGCTGGAACCCAGCAAAGCCCCATGATGAGATTGCAGTGAGGAGTGTCCTGAAACCCAGCTACGCCCAGGAAGCCTGAGATGCAACTGCCAGCTGTAAACCACAATGTTGGTCAGGGTATGCTCGGTCCTGGGAGGGCCAGCTCAAAGTTAGAAATAACTGCCACCTTCCAGGGTGGAGACACTTCACCTCCAACACACATACACACTACTGACTCCACAGCTTGTTTTAAAATCTGTAATGTCTACCTGTCTCTGGTCTATAAAATCCTGTGCTCAGCTAAAATGGGTCTTGTTTTCAGCATTTGCTGGTTCCCTCTTCCTTTTTCAGTCTGCTGTGTTTAGAACAATGACAACACCTATGTAGGGACTTATGTATATTTGGTCTTGCAGATATCCTAACAGTTTCC